CTCGAATATGTAGAGTCACCATGCATCAAACGGTTTAGCCAAAACCAAGTGTCACAATCTCAGCCAATTTGTTTAATAAAACCAAAGTTGCATAACAGAAAACGCGAGAATACACACATAAAAGGACCAAACCGGGTCACACTCATTTCAGACAAATACGCTGATAATTTGGGCCTGATCATTGGGTATCAACTGAAGATGTTAAGCATACATAATAACAATAATCAACACGCCTCTTCATCATTTATAAGTCCATATATTTGTCAAAACTTGAACTTCAAGTGTGTCAAGATGTATGAATTTGCCTAGCCGATGAGGTTATGGGCGTATTTGTCAAGAATTTTGAAAAGTCAAAAGTTATTTATAAGATTAAGAAATTATTTTTAAACATGTTTAGATGATTTTCTAAAAATATTGTTTAGTATTGACTTAAGATAACTTTCTCAAAAACACTCTTCTACAAAAAAGTAAAAGTTTTGTCTAATAGCCATGTCCTTTCTTGGCCTTAATAAGTAGTTGAATCCTCTGCAGTCCACATATGCTCCACTACAGATTAAAATGACAGTATTGAAGAAATGCGAAAATATGGGTTAATAAAAAGTTCCTGATAGAGAGAATTTGTAAATCGATCGACGACCGACTGATATGGATTTTGAACTAAACATACCAATCAAAGTTAGGTAAAGAGGCTTTATTTGGCTTCTACTTAAAAAGTCTCTTCTTTCTTTTAGAGGAGTCTAAGGCTAGCTATCTTATTTCTTGCTTGACTTCTTGACTTGCCTTCAAGAATTGAGAATCAAGAGAGGAAAAAAAATAGAGTCAAAATTGATCGATAAATTTCTCGAGACAAACAAAAAGATTAACGAAAGATGAAACATAAATCATGAATTAACAGATCTCTAGAGACCTTTTTAAACGAGAACCTCATGTAAATACCGTGAAATAATAGTTGAATTTGACCATATTCCATTCCAAAAATGGATAGTTCAACACAATTGGAATTTCTTTGAAACTTGAATGCAATTACTAATTTATGACCTCGCATGTACAAAATGAAACGATCTCAAAACTACAAGAGTAACCAAATGTTTTAAGGGAAGTGAGGAATGGAACTAAGATAAATATATGAAACATAAATATTGTGTTCAATTATTGAAAATACAGACATGTCCGTACAAAGTACTATTCTTGAAAAGGACGAGTGATAGAGAGAGAATGCAGACATTCTTCATTGCTTCTCTGTCTTTTTCACTCTTCTGTGTAAATTGCCAGCTCTCTCTGTCACCATTAACTCACTTTCTTTTTTCTTTAATTCAGATAATATCTTCTTACTTCCTTCTCTTCTTGCGATAATAATTGCAGATGGGATTGAAGGCATGCAATTTAACTTTACCTCTTAAATACATAACCAATTCAAGTGCACGTCTAGTATGCAAAACGGAACATCGTCACTGGACAGTACAATGAACGAAATTTTAGCTAGCTATCCGAAGCTAGATAGCTAACGAGGGCTTTCTATCGCATCCGCAAAAATCCTGCTTGAAGATGGTAATTTCATCTGCTGTTCATGAACCCTAATTTTCTTCATGACAGGATGATGTGTTGAAGAAATGCATGATCCTACAGTTCCCCATGAATCGTTCGAGCGATCTGAGTTGAAAAATTCATCCATCACTCCACTTGGGCTGCTTGGAACTTGACAAATTTTACGCTTCTGGGAATTGTTTTGGCCATGTAAACAACTCTTTGATATATACGAAATCATCTCATAGCAATCATTCACTTTCTCCTAGGAAAAACAATTACAGGTTCCATTAGTCACAAAATGAGCATATATCTTTGTACTCAAACACACAGTCTAAAACTTTAAAATGCACAAAAAGGAACCCCTTTATTATTTTTTAACGAAATAGATATTTGTCTTATGCTACAAGTCGAAGTTTAGAAGAAAAAAATAACGGATGAGATACGACAGATGGAATCAAAACAAAATACTTTTTCTTACTATGTGATCCTGAATTTTGCATTCAGTGTGAGCTCATTTTCGTATTAGAATATTACAGATGCACTATATACGGGATGACATGAACCAAGTCTTCTATCTTCGACAAGACGTTAGCGTGTGGGCCAAATTCATTTTTCCGCGATTGTATGAGCCCCATTTTGGAGTAAAAGGATATTTTGAAAAATTGCGTGATTAAAAAATACGAAAAATATTTCGATTTATATGCAAATTTATTTTATTAAAGAATATGCAGTTCAAAATGAGTTTTAAAAGAGCTTTTGATAATCAGTTAATCTAGTTTGTATACAAATAAGAGTATTTGAACCCCATTTTTTTTAATGAAAATGTATTTTAAAATAATATTTTGATAAAAAATGCATGGTTAAAAAATAAAGTTTTGAATTTGAGCGTAATATTATTTTATTGAAAAATATGTAATTAAAAATAAGAAAGAGGAAGAGAGAGAAATGTACTTTACAAATCATGGGTAACAAACAAGGACTAAATGATGGCAAAATCTAGACTATTGATTTTCATTAATTTTAAAGACTATTTTTGAAATGATTAACCTAGATGTTGCCGTAAATCAAGGGTCAACCTAGACCCTATTTGGCAAATATTAAAATTCAAATTTTAATCCAAGTCAATATCAACATTAAATTTAATCACATTTTTCGTAAGTCACACAATTTTTCAATTACACATTTCATCATTTTTTTTATTAAAATTTATTAAAATTTTGATTTTAATATCTATAGGCCTAGTTTGTACTTTGTAGCCATAGCATAATTCTGTAATAAAATAGGACTCAAACAAAGGGTAAAAGCCGTACATGTACACGACTTTAATGAAGGCTAAATTAGATCCTTTGTATGATGTACACACATTGATCTAACTTATCTAAAAGCTAACATCATAGAGAGTGGACACTTCTTCTCATGGTGACTGAACTAAAAGTGGAAATTAACTGAGAGAAATACAAACCTTGTTGATTTTGAGAACCTCAAGAAGCTGGTTTTCATGGTGAATGGCATTGCAAGACTCGACTTGATGAATAACGTGAAGCATGGTTGCAGTAGCCAGGACAGATGGTAGATAACGTAGGAATCTTGAATCTGTATAATCATACAAAATGCATAAGAGATCCGTAGTTACTATTAAGTTTCTTATTTTGTCTAAGTTACTTTTTCTTATGCATACCGGCCACTAGAGAGAGAAGGAGATTCTCACAGCGCCAGAGAAATTCCCAGTGAATATTGTTCTTCAATCCTAACCTTCTTATAATGTAGTCAAGAAATGAAATTGGAGTCGCTGAATTCATTTTCCAATTAAGTGCTGATAACACCAAAAGCTCCATTCTTTGAATGGTTTTCGCATCGAAAATGTACTTTGTATCCTCAATCTAATGAAATCAAGAAAATATTAAACCAATAAACAAGAATGTAATTAAAAATACAGGGTTTCTAGCTGTTTTGTTTATTGCACATCTCTTCGTACTATCAAAAGGAACGGTTAAAAAAGCTGCTTTTAATTAATCACAGTGACGACGTACTTGAAGATCTAAGAGGAGAGGAACGTGAGTTTCTTCAACTTTTGCAGCCAAAGATAGGCAAGTTACAGCTGCAAGTTGGATCATCCATGGCTTCTCTTTCTGAAAATGGATGCTGTAAAGAAACCTGTCGAGATAATTTACTGCAAGCATGGCAGTTAACGATGAAAACCCATAAAAATTTTTGACTTTCAAGATCCATTCCACTACATTTGTCCGTGCTTGCAGAGGAAGAGAAGAGCGCGTTCCATCGACAAATGCGTCATTTTCTTTGCAGAAAAGAGAGTTAAGTTCTTCATCTTCCCAGAACAAATCTTGTTCCGTTAACAGATGAGGAAAATGGGACAGATTTCCACCATTAAAGTTGATTTTTTCACTCCCTTCTTCAAATTCTCCCCATTTTTCTTCTTCACAGTAAAGTGAATCAAGCAAGGAGGACTGAGCATTTTCTTCTTGAGTCATCTTCTTCTTGAAAGAAGAAGAGAGTTTTGTTCTTTGCTCATAATACAATACAGAAAAGTAAACACAACCCCATTCCTCTCTCTCACCCACAAACTTTCTCCCTCTATGTATCTCTCACAGACTGAGAAAGATAAAGGAAGAGATCTTATCAAAGCGGGTATCACGCTTGTCTTTTCTTTTTGCGTATAGGCTGGAATACAGATTTATGTGCATTAATTTATGATATCGAACTGTGTGTAGTGTGTGTGTTTTTTCTTGGCGGGCAGGAATTGGAAACGGCACACAGACCAAGCAGGGCCCCTCGAAAACAACCTCTTATGGAAGCAAAATTAAGATACACAGATTTTGCATCGCTGAGACTACCATTTCAGAATAATGTAGATGAAAATTTACATTCCGAAGACAATACAATAGAGGTAGGATATCAAATCGATCCCTCGACTCAGACGGCTTGCGACTTGACCCATGAAAAGCTCAAGCTGAATCAACTTGCGACACAGCAGACCCGAGTTGTAAATATAGCCGAGTACTCGTCAATTGCATTCATGTATTTAGCTATATAGTCAAGACGTACACTCAAATCACTTATTTATTTCATTATTACCTACAATCTGAATCTGACTCTTCAGAATGAATCCTTTTGAATTCAAGCTCATGAATAGAGCACAATTTTTCTTTAATTGACACAATACATGACTATATGTATTTTCCTCACGCGCCTCCAAATTAATTGAGTATTGTATATATTTAGAAGGCTGATGATCAACCGTCTAAGATTTTTAAGTAGTTTATGTTGATATGTCATCTTAAATGTGAACAATATGATCTCTACATTAAGATGACATATGGTACTTAATTGCCACCTAGGTTGCCACTAAGCGTCTGTTTGATAGGCAAACCTATAAGAATTCGTTTTCCATAAAAATAAAGAAAATGCAGCTTGTTGTACCTTGGAATTCGGTTTCCATTTTTACGTTGCAATCAAACGATCAAAATGGAATTCGTTTTCTTCGGATGTAACATTTTTCATGGAAAATGTGACAATTAAACATAGCTTAAATGATTAGTTGTCTGAGTAGATAGTAATTCATTAAGAAATAATTAGGTAGTATTTTAGAAAACCAAAAGGGGAAGGAAACCAATGTTCAAAATGTCCTCCAGGCTTCAATCTTGGGTTATTTGTGTTTGATTACAGCCCATTTTGGGAGAAATTTGCCTTGACACCCCTTGAAAAAATTGAAACTTCGGGTAGTGACCATGTGAACTTTGAAATTTAGGGATTGGGGGCCATTACAAATTTACAATGGGGATTTATCCAATAATCTATTGTAGCATGTTCAATAAGACGGATTAGTTAGACCTCCTCAACTTTGGTTATT